GAACTCCACTGCATTACTGCTGCCTGCCTCTTGTGCGTGCTGTAGCTCACTATGGAATTTGGCCTCCTTTGTCAATCAGCGGACCAGAGCTGCGAGCAGCTCAAGCAGCACTGGTCATTTGATGGTGCATAGGTGAATAGGAAACAGCAGGCCTTGTCTGGAACAGAGGTCTTTGTCCAGAAAACGGAGAGGCCAAACATGGTTGGAAAGCTATTAGAGTTAGAGGGAGGGAGCTGGCTGGTACACTTGCCAGAAAGCAGCAATACCTTCACCTGTTCTATGTTTCATTAACTCTTCAAAACCCAGCTACTTATGCAGCCCAGACCACAATGAGGAGTATATTAGAACATGCAGTTTCCCTCAAATGACCCGTCGCTTTCATAGCCTTCAATCACTATCCAGCTGATGGTGGCCAGTCTTCAGCCCAGTACCATTGGCCAGGGAAGTCTTGCTACATCCTTCTAGCAAGAAGCGTTTTTAAGCATGATAATCTAGAAAAGGTACTAGGTTACAGGCCCAGTGTAACGCTCCTCCATGCTGTTTATTTCAGTTAAGGCATCATTAATTTATCATGTTAGCCCGAGAAGGGAGATTCCGATAGCCACGTTAATCTATATGTGTATGATCAAACAATAGATGTGTATAACAGATTGCATACTGGAGAAAGGCAGTAGCCCCTTCACAGTTAAATATGGAACCAACTTCTGTTCCATTGCCCACTTTTAGCCCCAATATAACTTTGAATTAGAAAATCAGTTTGGTCTGAAAACTGTCACGTTTACTCAGAAAGCAACAAAGGAAGTTTTTGCAAAGTTAGTCCAACTGTTTTTGAGTTACAGGCCATTAAAGTTCCCCTGATCTGAATGCTGAATTGTCTATCATTTGTCTTCCTCCCTTTGGCTTAAAACAATCTCATTACTGCCCCTTCAAACTTTCCATGGAGTTAAATCTCCTTGAAAACCCATGCACCTGCTGTAGTTAAAGATGTGCACATCTCTGAATTCCTGATAAGAACAGTATGGTTGCTTATTAAGTGGGCAATGTCAGATGTAGTGTCCAAAACTATTTCCTTGCTTTGAAACGCTTGATTTGTGTCAATAATGGAATAGGTTAATATATTGTCATTTAGCAACCTTAACTGCTGTTAAAACAAAGGTTTTGTTTGTACAGTAAAGTAAGATTATATACAATCTCTTTCAAAAATGTTCATTTTCAAAATACTCTCATATGAATCTGCCCCTTCTCTTCCCTGTAGCTTGCTCGAGAGAGTACGTAACATAGAATCGTAGAATATCAGGGTTGGAAGGGACCTCAGGAGGTCATCTAGTCCAACCTGCTGCTCAAAGCAGGACCAATCCCCAGACAGATTTTTGCCCCAGATCCCTAAATGGCCCCCTCAAGGATTGAACTCACAACCCTAGGTTTAGCAGGCCATGCTTAAAGTGGCTCTCTCTAGTATTACTTTGAGAGTGCTTTGTAGCAAGCCGAGAGAGTCATTCACATTATTTAGAGAAGCTTAAGAGAAGTTCAAATTCTATTTCCATTTGCCTCCAGGATCAAGTTGTATTGAACTGTTTCCCAAATCTCCCCCACCTCCCTTCCCACATGTAGAGCCTCAAAGTCCCCGGATTGCAATTTAAGAATGACCCATCCACAGTAAAATGCAGTTTTTTTCCTTTTAACATTAACGTCAGTGCTCAGACAAAACCCATTGCAATTTTTGATTTTTTGTTCATTTTCATTTAATATTTCAGTGTGAAAATACTAGAGAAAAGTTTATCTGTAGACCAACCTCGGTTCTGAAAAACCAAGGGCTTCTTGAATTTTACAGATTTTTTTCTGCCAAACAGAAATTTTACATGCAAGAACACTGTCTAGAACCAATATAGCTCACTCTCCCTTTGTGTATACAGAGTATATATATACACACACACACACAGACTTACACACACACATGAATTCACATATCCTGAGCTGACAAAGCAGTTTCACTGCAGCTACAACCAAGTAAGTGTACTTTGGCCAATACCATTCCACCTAGGCTGGGACAACAATTGCAGTAGAGATAGTGTTGCCATGACGACAGACTTGGAGCCTTTCATGTTAATTGAACAAGCTCTTTCTCTTCCCCAAGACGCACACTACCTACTTTAAGCAGGGCAATGGTGCAGCCCAGGTCTGTCTGTTCTCCCATGAGTCCAGTAGAAACTGATTGTTCTCCCTTGTGTTGTCTGGATACAGTTTGGAACCTCATAATTTTGAATTATTTTTTAAATACCGCCAGTATGCATGGTGTCTCCATGGAAAACTGGCAGACACTAATTTTCAAAAGCATCTGATTGCTGAGACAAAAAGATACATTAAAAAACCTTACAACCCAACTACAGAGTTAAAGTGTTTCAATAAGTTTCCATTTCACTTCCTGACCTTGTTTATACAATTTCCCTTTGAAATTTCAGGAGCTTTCCCCAGCTCCAGACAGTATTTAAAAAAAACCCACCACATTCTGCTGTTTAGGTTAGGAATTTGCTTCATCCTGATGAAAGGCGATGCTCTTCAGTATATATACTGGATACAGAAAGGTGGCACTTGTCCAGGTCTTGTATTGAGGAAAGACCCAAAGTTTGCCAGTTGACAGAAAGAGCTTGACTGAAGCTCATTGGATAATGGGCTGGGAGAGTCCCCTCTCTATATAAATTGATCTTGCCCCTAGATCAGCATGATCCAGTTTGTCTTCCAATTCTGCTTTTCAGCACAGCAGGAATTACAAAAACCTGACCTGAGATACATTATACAAAGAACTATAATCATTGAGGAATCCAACAGTTGTGGCGCAATCTACTTTAGACACTCCCATCAGCTCCACGAGCTACAGCAAAACGTGGATTACAAAACCATTCTTCCTGGGGTATCGAGGGAAATGGCACAGGAAAAGAGTATACAAAACAGTACAGGCACAGGTCTGTTACACTCTATAAAACAAGCACAGAGTACCTGGCTTTTTAAAACTCATAAAGGTGTTAAAAATCCAGACTTTTCCAGAGATTTCCATCCACGCTCTCAATGTGACACAAAACCAATGTCCAAGTGGCGCTTACAATGGTGGTTAGTGGGGAAATGCACAAGCCCCTTGGCAGAATGGGTCCTGCCCTTCCCTAGGTCACAGGGGCACATGTAGCAGCCAAGGATGACACACACACACACACCCCTTTGGTTGTGGTTCAGTGCCTCAAAGCAGCCTTCTGTTTGGCAGGGGATGAGTGAGGAGAGGGCAGTCTATCTACTGAGGAGGAGCTGCTCAGGGTGGACTGAAGGTAAACAGTCTTGTGAAAGAGTCTGTTGCTGAGGAAAACCACCAAGGAGAAGAGACGCAGCTGGAAATGGCTGAAACACAGAACAAATGCTGTGAGCTCCCATCCCAAGGCCTCAATTGGTGTCTCTTGCACGCATACGTGCGTGCACAGACACAAACACATTAATATAATAGTGCAGCAAGAAGCTCCCTTTGTCCATTTTTATATTTTGCTTAGTATATTCTAGGATAATGAGTGTCTTCACAACACAGATTAGTAGATACACTCTACAGTGACAAAGAGTAAAGGCCTAATGCAGGCACAGTTATCATACCCACCCCCTAGGAAATGCAGGATGCCTCCATTCCATCCTTGTATCTACATAGGGAGGACAAAGCAGACCCAATTATTCCAACCTTGGGGTTAAGTCTGTCTTGAAAAGCTTGAAGCTGCAGATCAGAGCTGAGCTGATGGCTGTCCAGGAATTCCAGGGTTTTGGCATACAGGGAGGGTGACATGAGAGGATTTCAGTTCAGTGCAGGTCTATCAATAACCTCAGAGAACCTTTCCCTTACCAATAACGCACCCTTTGGAAATGTTAACACAATGTCCTCTCTGTTAATAAAATCCGGTTTAATTTCCCTTATTTTAAATTAATGGAGGTGTCCCAACTCTATTGTTCTTCCATCATTACATGACCAATATGTTCAGAGATGCACAAGGACACCCCCTAGCTTACCAGACACAGTACTGCTAAAGCCCTGTTTTAGGTCATTGATTCGAGTGTCAGTTCGTCCTGCATCTAGCATTATCATGAGTTTCCTACGGAAAATACTTACTATGCTTTCCCAGGTGTCTTTGCTTCATTGGCGCTGATGATAAATAGAGGGAAAAGAATGGAGAACAGGCAGCCACTGAAAAGAGAAGAAGGCACATTGAGCAAAAAGCCAATTACTACAAGTTGGTGTCATAATAAGGTTACACAGGAAAATGACCTCCCACGCAATGGAAGCTGATTTCAGGACATCTCTTTGCAGGGAGTGGAGAAGGATGAAGCAAAGCACCATTAAACACAGGGGAAATCAAACAGCCCAACTAAGGGCCGCACTGAATTTGTTTAAATGGAGCAGATGGCACCCGTCACAATATTTACAGGGAAACACATTGTGCAGAAACTACATTTTCCAGCAGCTCAGATCAAGAGAGAGTATCACGTGCCGGGATCTGTAGCTTCCATAGGCTGCACCTGCATATAAAATAGAAATTGCTGTGGGCTTCATGGGACTACTACTGCAACCATCAGCACGTCACTGCAGCTTTAAGGGGGACAATCTCAGTCACATGGAAGACAAGTAAAAGGTGTGGCATTGACAATGTAAATAAAGGACAAGTAACTCCGGTAGGATCTGGGCAAGTTTAAATCTTTCCCTGCTGGGATCCACTGCAGTGTTCTTTTAAGTATTCAGCGAACTTTCAGAAGAAGGGACAGATACGCAGCTTGACACTGGAATTGGGTTTTACCTCCCACATATCTGCTGTCTCTGTGTTACCTTAGGCAGGGCCGACAAGGTTAGAAATGCAGCTCATCAGAGAGAAGCTTGTCTGCATCAATAAATTGTGGCCCCTGCTAGCTCTACTTACTGTTCTGCATTAGAAGTATAAAAAAAACCATGCCGCTACCGTTGGCTCCATCTGTAAGAGTATTCCAATCGTATGGGAGAAGGTTACAGCAGAGTCAGAGCAGGACGAGAAATCATAAAGCAGACAGCAATGACATCATCTCAGCAGAGAGAAGATTTCTGAGCAGTGAGAGGATTTATGAGCTTTTCCCAGCCACTGTGCCTCCAGAATGATCAATACAGTGGGGCAGGAAGTAGGGGAGATTCTACTATCCAAATGTGTCTCATAGTTGTATGGCAGTTCGGTGGAGGAATCTGCACTACATTTCTGATTTTAATGGAGAAACCTTCCTTATTCCGAAATGTACTTTCCCCTCCAACTACTTATTAGCAGAGCTATTTTCCTATGGTGCTGTGGAAGCAGATATACTCCTCTGACCTGCAGGGGTTGGGAAAGGTACACTTCTCTGGTGGTCTCGTGGAGGGTGGGAATTTTGGGTGGTATTTGGGGGACGTTACCTCTGCATTCATCACCCGCAAAGCAAGGACGCCCACCCAGTGCTCCCAATTTAGAATCATAGAATATCAGGGTTGGAAGGGACCTCAGGAGGTCATCTAGTCCAACCCCCTGCTCAAAGCAGGACCAATCCCCAACTAAATCATCCCAGCCAGGGCTTTGTCAAGCCGGGCCTTAAAAACCTCCAAGGAAGGAGACTCCACCACCTCCCTAGGTAACGCATTCCAGTGAAAGTCACCTGATGATGTAAGAAGACTGCATTGCAGTGAGAAAAGCCAGCGGTAAACCAAATCCAAAGTAATAGGGCCAGTTCCTCTCAATGTTGGATAACCGTTGATGCATTTCAATTCCTAATAAAAACACAAGTTAACGTACAGAAATTTAAGGAACTAAGGCACAAAAGTTTTGGATAAAGAGCATGTGTTGTCACTAAATCTCATATTTCTAGAGTGCCAGGCATCCTGAATGATCCCAAAGTAATTTATAAACTACATAAGGGAGCTGTAGTGGCCATTCCATAGGTAAGGTTGCAAACAAGTTTCTATTATAAATTAGATTTGGGATCTACCCTATAAAATCCACAAACAAAAGAATATCAGCCTCAAAAGTGGTGTGTGAAGCCTGAGACGACAGTAGAATTTTTCTATCATGCTTCAATAAAATCTGACAAGGGATCCCTGATTTACAACACCATAGAAATAGAGATGTTCTTCAGAGTCTAAAAATCGAATTGTTTTGCCGCTTTTATAGTAAAAAACAGAATATAAACTTGGTTTACTGGACGCACTGACTTGATAAGAAAAAAGGCACAAGACAAAAAGCAGTTGATTAAACTCCAAGTTTAAATAACATCAAGACTTCAAAGAGTAACCTCAGAAAAGCTGGTCAGCTGAGTTAAAATATGGAGGACTATGCTTTTTAAAAAAAATATAGTAGGTTTCTACCTTCCTCCCCACTGCTTTTTTTAAAACTTTCTTGTAAAGGTTTTTCCCCTTGATAAAAATCACATCTACCATCATTGAAATGCAGACACATTTGGAATAAATCTGGCAGTAATTTATCAGTGGACTGTAAAAATACAGAACATTTACGGTGTTAAATGAAGAATCTAATTTAGATTATAAGCTTCCTGTCTTTTTATGCTTAAAATGCCCTGCAGCATATGGTGTGATGCAAAATAACGCTATGTTAGGCTGAAACTTCACTAATAGTTGAAAGTAGGTGGCAAAATTAAGTTATTCCAATTGTAAAACTGAACTAACACTCCTCTTGTGAAAAGTAATATGGAATCTTTTGTCAGCACAAGTTGTCAAGGCATCTCTCTCTAATCTGAAAGGAAAAAGACACCATCATTTCGGTTTTTCTTCTATTACCTTTGCTGGAGAAGGTTAAACAATTAAAACAATTTTACCATAGCTGTGAGAGACAAGTAAATGTTCATGTTCTGCATGTCTGGATATGTGCATTACAGAGCAAGAGACGGCCTGGGCCTACCTGACATTCATCATCAGGCTCCTTCTCAATCCAGAGCTCTAGCATCAGAAACGAAAGTTCTCTTTTCTTCTAGTGTTTTTTTCTCTAGCTGAATTTAGAATTCAAATGGTTCCAATGATGGTAAGATTGCCTCTTTGGATTTAGTTCCTGTTTGACTTAATTCCATGGAGTGAAAAATATTTGGAGCTGAAAAACCATTACACAAGACAACCTTGTTTTTTCCCTGGAACTACGAATTCTATGGTACACTGCAAACCAAGTCAGAAGGGGACCAAACCCAAGGCTTTCAAGTGAGAGCCACCAGGAGAATTTCAGACTGCATCTGGCCCTCAAACAAATGTTTATTATTCTACTCATCTTCCCTGCCGCTTCAAACACCATGTGACTATTTCTCATCTCTGCTATAGCCTCAATGAATAAGCAGGCAAGAGATTCAGGACAGCACAACCAAGAGTGTTCAGTCACAGAAAAACAGAGAAGGGCAGTAAGTCATCTATAGTGGCCCCTTCTCAGCCAGTGTTAAATGGATTGTGAAATGATGTATTCACCCCCCTGGTGTCTGTACTGCTCTGTGTGTTGCACTCACACCTTGATGCCATAAAGGTGTGGAGTCAAGATCCCTATCAGGATTTGGATTCACACTGCAATGGAGCATGCACCAGAGAAGGGTTGGCTGCGATGTCAGAGGTGCTAGACTTCAGACAAGATGCTGAAGTCCCATCTGGTGACTGTTTCAGGTGGAAATGTTCCCATAGCACCTTCTGAAGAAAGTCAGGGATAACATGCCAGTGTTGTAGCCAACATTCCTCTCTCTCAATAGAACAGTCTCTTGGACCACTAGTGGTATGGTTGATCCATTGCCTATGCAGTCCCCAGAACAGCAGGATCTCACTCCCAACTATGAGGTGCTTTGGGGTGCTGCTCTGTTTTATTCATCTTATTGACGTGTCTCCCTTGAGCAACACCTCAGCTCCTATACTCAGACCCATTACTGAGAACTAACATCCAAATGTGACTAAACAGGCGAGACCATTTAATAGAGTAGTACAAGTGAAAATCATCTCCTAGTTAAATCGCTCTTGTGTAAACAGCACAATAAATCGATCAGCCTAGTAAGGTTTAATGCTCTGAAAAAAAAACAAATCTGCAAATACAGCAGAGATTCATTCTCTAAAGAGAGGCTCATATTCCATACTCTTGAGGTGAGGAAGGGAGAGAGAGAGAGAGATCACTTGGTAACATCCCAAGTTACTTGTCTGGATAAAGTGTGTTTGAAACTGGATTGTCCTCCTATCGGGGAGCTTATGCATTTAAAATATTTCCAGCAATGCAGAATGTCTCCAGACACATGCTGTTAGCCTTGGAAGTGAAGGGTAGCACTAACCTTTATTAAACCAGCGGTACTCAAAGCAGTACAGGGAGTAGAGCAGCGACATGTGCAGGAGGCTAACCAACTGGCCAATGATATCAATTGGGAAGAGACTCACAATCATCCCCTGCAGAGGAAGAGAAGAAATTGATTGAGTTTGCTTTCTGCAGTGGTGGAATTATGTACAGCACAGCAGGAACACAATACATTTATCTTCACTCTAGAGAGTGATATGGGAGCACAACTAGAGAGGACCTTGCTTTCTAGTAGTTTTAATTTTATTCCCCCGCCCTCCAATAGAACCCTCCGAACCCCACCTCCCTTCTAGCAAAGCTCATCCTGTCACTTTGGGAACATCAATCAATTTGGCCACAATTCTCTGCATATAACAGTTTCCTGGTCACAGCTCAGCCCTCCAGCCAAGAGGCTTTCTCTTCCAAGGCTGTCACTAATGCCAACAGCTGCATTTGAACAGCAGAATGGTTTGGCATCTCCCCCTCAGCATTTCACAGCTAATATGCACTTGGTTCTCTACTGACCCAGATACAAAACCCAAGAAAGGTCTAATCTCACCTGAATGAGGAACAGTGCTTGCAGTAAGAGGTTAAATAGCATATCAGCAATGATTTTACTGACACTGGAAAAGGGCTGGGGCTTTCTTCCGGAAACCTCAAATGCCAAATCTGCAATGTCCTGAAACAGAGAAACACATTTCGGGGAAACTAATTTACAAAGACAATTAACAGGAGTGACTGCACTACTGATCTGCAGTCAGCATGCCGATTCCACTGAGTACACTTTCAGGATGCAATCTTGTCTTTTACTGATGCAGTAACAGCTTTAGCTCAGCAGCTTATTATATGTAGTAATAAGGGTTTGCACTTTTCATTCAAGGGGCTCAGAGTACATTAGAAACCTGGGTATCATTAACCCCATTGCTACAAATGGAGAAACTGAGGCACAGAGTCCAAAGTCATACAGTAAGCCAGTGGCAGAGCTGAGACTAGAACTCACGCCCCCCACTCCCAGTCCCTTTCTCTAATCACATCACCATGCTGCCTCCATTGCATGTTTTCCAAACATACTGTCAATCAAATAACGGTGGCAAGAAAAAGAACAGTGATCATTTCTCCCAGAAAGCAGCAAGCCATCTCCCCATCATCATGAAACACACTGCACATATTCCACAGTGCACCTGCCAACACACTCAACACAAGCAACTACCACACATCACATCTGGAACAATAACTTTTGTGTAGAAATGTTCCTTTTATGGCATTATACATAACAGAGCACATGGCCTTCCACACTTTGCCCAAATAAGGGCCACACGAGCAGCTTGTTTGAACCAGAAGGCCTTATCTAATACATCTGAAATAAAGCAGGTTACGGCTCATTTATAGAGGTGCCAGTCTGTGGAGACTACATGTTCCAGCATGCAATGTTCCATCTCAATCTGACTGGTCACCCTCCATACTAAAAATAAAGGAGGCTGTGGGTTGTACTCTTGCTCTATGGTCTTAACTGATGCACCCGTAACACAGCATATACTAGGTCACTTGTTTAATGTGAACTCCTGCTCCCACAGCTAACGAGGGCTGTTCCTCATCATCCTCACCTACCTGAAACCAGATGGCATTGACGACTTTACTGAGCACAAAGAGAGGAAGGACCCAAAGGGCACCAAAAATAGAGGTGAGGATGAATTCCAGCCAAGACCAGACATCACCATGTAGCGAGGGGTCACCTTCAAAATAAGAATAAAGTCCTCATCAGCGACATGCACATGGGATTCTCTTCATTTCAGACTGCACAACCTACAGTTACAATGGAAAAACAGCTAACAGCAGCCTCCTTTGTACAGATGTGATATTCTGGTCCAACTACAAAAAGAGAGATAGGAAATGGCCCTTCCTGGTTTTATCTACTTCCCTTCCTTACAGACCCATTTTCATGCACCTGCTCTTTATTTACTTCTAATAATATCCTAGCAGCAGTACTTCCATAGGGAACCAGTGCTTTAATCCTATGGGAACATATGCTTTGGGACTGCCAAAAAGCATCCTGCTAGTTCAAAAGCAATGGCTTTCCATTTCTTGTGGTATAAGCAGGAACATAGTTCCCTCTTCCATCATTAGGAATAAGGTTTCTGGGTTTGACATTTATTTGCTGAAAACATATATGGATGGGAAGAGAAAGCATTCTGCAACTAAAATGTCATGCAGCAGACACATGGGAAGACAGCTCTCGCCTATACCTCAAATACTGTTTTGAACAGATGTTATCAAAGCTGTGTGTTTTGGTTCGCAGGAGATGAGAGGCCCAGAACACCCAAGAAAAAAAAATGGGGTTCTCCTTTGTTTTGATGGATAACTCTGGAAGAGGTTTCTGATACTTGTAGCGAGATTCCCTGACCTCTCTGCTCCTCAAGTGCTCACTCTCATCAGCATTCTGTTCCCTGCTCTGCCTGAACACTCAGAGTGGGAAAAGGAAAGAAAGAAGCAACAATTACAGCATGCACATCATGAGCAGCCCAGACATCTGAACAGTGGGGAAGGCTCACCCAGCAACAGAAAGAAAGGGACCGAGATGAAAGTAAAAGGACAGAATGGAGTAAGGCAAAAGGGTAGAGAGCGACAGCAAGAGGGAAAGGAGATGGACAAAGATGTGGGGGAAGGCAAGAGAGAAGAAGGTAGGACACAAAGAAAAGGGGAAATAGTGTTAAACAGAACAGAACTAGAGGATGGGGGAGACAGACAGGTCAGGAGACATAGGGTAAGGGTAAGACATTTCCCTGTTTAGATACTTATATGGCGTCCATCACTGTAGTGTTAGAGGACCTCCCAAAAATTAAGAACAGTCAATATCACTGACTGTATCTCCCTTTCGTCCCAAAAAATTTATTTGTTTAGATAGTTGGAGCTTTTGTGTGTTTGTTTGTGTTATGTGAGAAGAACTTACTCAGGGACAACGCAACCAAAGATCCATTTTCCCTGAATTTTCAGTGTTCTCCGAGCCCAAAAACACTTGGCAGCCCTACTTTTAGCTTGCCTCACATCAGCAATTATTGGGCATGCCTGTGGCTGTTCTGGATCTATGCTGAAGCTCCTCCTCACATGACAGAAAACTGGAAGCAATGTGACTGTATCACACTGCTAACAAACAGACTTCCACTGATACTAAGAGGCAGACCCCCCAACGCCTCCTGGCATTCGCCCCCATAGTTCAATACAGGTTACTATTCCCATGCACTGAGTTTTAACATGTTGGATTTTACATTTGCTTTCAGTAATAAGGCTTAATTTCAATGGTTTTAATAAGAATCTGAGGACCATGAAAATGAGTGGAGACTTTTCCTGTTAGTGTGAATAGTAATACATAGAATTTGCGGTCCATGCCACTTAACTTAAAAAGCACTTTACAACATTTACATTTGGACTCTTGCAAAATATAAAATGAATTGTCTGGGATAAGAAGTGTTAACAGCTTTAGACTTTACTGGCTGGTAAGAGAATACACCAATTAAAAAACAACTCATCCCATGTCTAATGGTAACTTTCTATGTTACATAGAACTCCATGAGAAGCTACATCCCCAATAAAGAGGAGGATGTACAGCTTGTGATGAAATTCACTCTGAACAGTATTTAAATTAAAGTAATTACAAACAGAAGCAGGATTCCCACATGGAGAAAAAATAACTGGGAAGCTGGGAATGGGCGACAGGGGATAGATCGCTGGATGATTACCTGTTCTGTTCATTCCCTCTGGGACACCTGGCATTGGCCATTGTGGGAAGACAGGATACTGGGCTAGATGGACCTTTGGTTTGACCCAGTTTGGCCATTCTTATGTAACTAGCTTAATACTAAAACATAGGGTTCCAAAAAAAAAAAGTCTTCACCACTTCTCAGTCTGTTAGCAGAACTGCCCATCAATCTTTCTATCTGATACACAATCATGCTAATCAAGTCATTGGAACATTGTTTAACTTTGTCTAAGTGTGCTTTTTAAGGCTGATATGTCAGTTTTCACAAGAGAAAAACAAGAAAGAAAGAAAATCTGGCTGAGATTTTCAAAGAAGCTTAAAGAACGTGGATGTCCAATTCCCATTAATTTTAATGGGACCTGAGCATCCAAATCCCATAGTTTGGTTAATTTTGATCCAAGTCAGTTCACTAAAGAGGATGTGGCAGCATCAATGCATGAAACACACAGGAAGAGGAGGGCACAGCCCAAAGTGAGTGGGTCGAGTCCTGAGTTGTACTAAGCCCTTACATCCCTCACTCAAGTCAATGGGAGCTGCAGATGCTCATCATCTCTAAGGATTTTGCCCTCAGTTAAATACCTGAGAGAGGGAAATAACTCAAGGATGGAGAGGTGGGATGTGGGGCACAGTCTCCTTAGTCTTCTACACAGATGCTAATAATCATTTACCCTGAGGACAGCTGATGTCCTAGAACTCTTTAAAGAAACAAATTATATACTTACCAATTATCTGTGCTGTGACTGACTGAAGTACAGGTATAAATACTCGGTAAAACAAGAGGAGACTAAGCTAAAGGAAAAAGGCAACAAGGAAACCATAAAAGTGGTTTTGTTAATGACATTTACAGGTTCACTTCTATTACTCTTATCTCTATCCATCAACCCAATCTGCAATCACTCCAGAAACTCTCAACTGCCTCAAAGTGTCCATCTCCTGCCCTACTAAAAGTACCATCTTGTCTGACTGCACTGCCATTGCCACGCTCAATGGCTTTGGCAAACTGAGAGGCTGTTTCATATTTGGCACCTAAACACCTCAGCTTCAGATGGGGCAATAACTTTCATCTACAGTGACAAAGATCCATAAACACTGATTTAAAGGCATATTTCATGCAGGCATTGTGCATTCTCTATTTAATAGCAAAATGTTTGCCTGCCATCTATTAAAAATTAAACACCATGACCCATCAATGCAGAGCGCTGAAAGATCGCTGCTCTACTTAAATACAACCAAAATATATAATTGAACTTTTTCCTTTCAACATTTCCATATTGATTCCTCACCCATCATGACAAAGTCTAATGGAAGATGAAAAGAAACAAATGATTTATTAGGCTGCAAAGCGCCTATTACAATCATGAATAAACCCTACCAAACTCATTAACAGCTATTTGGAAAGCTGACCTGAGTAAATGTAATATTCGATTCAGCGGAGCAGCACTACAGACTTCATTTGACCAGCAGGTGAACAAGCAGCATTAGGAACTTGAGAAACAGACTCCAGATTAATATAATGGTCTGTTTAGAGAATACAGTAGTTCAACTATATATTTTAAGGAGGGTCCCTCTTTATATAAAACATCAAAACTTAGAAACTTACTGGTTTCTCTCAATTCATAATGCCTTCCAGCTTAGCTGGGCAGCCATGCTGACATATCACCTTTAAAACCATAAAAGCACTGAAGCAGTGCACTGGTTTAAACTGGTGCTCCAATTTTTAAGTTAGGAAATTAAAAAAAATTACACTTACCCAGAATACGCCTCCATTCCATGCACAACATTGAAAAATCCGGCTTACTATCCGAGGTTCACTGGAGAGCAATAAAACACATGCATGTGAGACTATCACTGTAGCTTCTTCTCTTCAAAGCAAATTATCCCCAGCATCCTGGGTCACTGAGAACCACTTTTATACAATATCTTAAATCAGAATGTGCTGGGTGCCTTCAAAATATATATACACCTCTACCTCGATATAACGCGACCTGATATAACACGAATTCAGGTATAACGCAGTAAAGCAGTGCTCCAGGGGGGCGGGGCTGCGCACTCCGGTGTATCAAAGCAAGTTCAATATAACGCAGTTTCACGTATAACGCGGTAAGAATTTTTGGCTCCCGAGGACAGCGTTATATCGAGGTAGAGGTGTAATACCAACTTAATTCTAGTAATAGAATTTATTAAGTCAGCAGCACTGTAATTCTCCAACAATTCACCACACAAACTCATGACATATGCTCACTGCAATGCACAAGTTAATTTTTCAACTCTTATAGAAAACTAATGCTGTTGCATCAGAAAGTCCATTTCAACATAGTATTAATTCCCAGCAGAAACTATTTTAAAATGGAATTAAAATTGAGATTATATATCAGTAATTTAGAGTAAAAGACTTTACAAGGATATTGTAATTATTCCAAGAACAACCATTAGAAATCCAAGAAATTCAAAGTTAAAGGGTCAATACAAAAATCCCAAATGTTAAGGAATGGAAATGCACAGTTAAAACATCCATGCAGTAACTACTGAATTATGATTAGTGCATAACTGTATCTGCAGTCTCTCCATTGTAATAAGAGTACATGGCCTTCGTCCGTTAGTGCCTCTCCAAAGTTCTTCCATCTGACCTCAGCGATTCCTAGGAGATGCCAGGTGCATTGTTCCATTTCGTACACGAGTTCTTTCAACCTCCCTATTTGTCTCAATGTCCTTACATTCCATGTGGCTATGATGATGTTATCTCTTCCATGGATCCTCTCTGTTGGGGTTACACCAACAGTATACTTGTCACGTCCGCCCTGGTGGGAGACGGATGGCGCAGTCATTATTAACCTGGGCTGCGACCAATCCAGTATGGACATGGTTGACTTGCCCATCATATGGTGTGTCTTGGGCAAATTTCTAACCTGGAGGAGCTCACCCTCTGCAGGCAGTCCCCTTTTAGTCACCTCTTGTGACATGCAGGAGCAGCAGCGGGCCTATTCTGTCCCCGGACCCACAGGGGGAAGTGGAGAGGACAAACATGTCAACGGCGTAGGATTTCTTGTGCATAAAGATATCAAGAATTCAGTATTAGGATGCCGCCCAATATCCAGCAGGCTTATTTCTATCCGTTATTTCCAGCAGCTGGTCCTGGAACCCACCAGAGGAGAGGCAATTCTTGATTTAGTCCTAAGTGGAGCACAAGATCTGGTCCAAGAGGTGAATATAGCTGGACCGCTTGGTAATAGTGACCATAATATAATTACATTTAATATCCCTGTGGCAGGAAAAACACCACAGCGGCCCAACACTGTAGCATTTAATCTCAGAAAGGGGAACTACACAAAAATGAGGAGGTTAGTTAAACAGAAATGAAAGGGTACAGCGCCAAAAGTGAAATCTCTGCAAGCTGTGTGGAAACTTTTTAAAGACACCATAATAGAGGCTCAACTTAAATGTATACCCCAAATTAAAAAACATAGTAAGAGAACCAAAAAAGAGCCACCGTGGCTAAACAACAAAGTAAAAGAAGCAGTGAGAGGCAAAAAGGCATCCTTTAAAAAGTGAAAGTTAAATCCTAATGAGGAAAATAGAAAGGAGCATAAACTCTGGCAAATGAAATGTAAAAATACAATTAGGAAGGCCAAAAAAGAATTTGAGGAACAGTTAGCCAAAGACTCAAAAAGTAATAGCAATTTTTTTTTTTAAAGTACATCAGAAGCAGGAAGCCTGCTAAACAACCAGTGGGGCCACTGGATGATCGAGGTGCTAAAGGAGCACTCAAGGACGATGAGGCCATTGTGGAGAAACGAAATGAATTCTTTGCATCGACTTCATGGCTGAGGATATGAGGGAGATTCCCAAACCCAAGCCATTCTTTTTAGGTGACAGATCTGAGGAACTGTCCCAGATTGAGATATCATTAGAGGAGGTTTTGGAACAAATTGATAAATTAAAGAATAAGAAGTCACCAGGACCAGATGGTATTCACCCAAGAGTTCTGAAGGAACTCAAATGTGAAATTGCAGAACTACTAACTGTAGTCTGTAACCTATCATTTAAATCAGCTTCTGTACCAGATGACTGGAGGATAGCTAATGTGACGCCAATTATTAAAAAGGGCTCCAGAGGTGATCCCAGCAATTATAGGCCTGTAAGCCTGACTTCAGTACCGGGCAAACTGGCTGAAACTATAATAAAGAACAATATTGTCAGACATATAGATGAACATAATTTGTTGAGAAGAGTCAACATGGTTTTAGTAAAGGGAAATCATGCCTCACCAATCTAGCAGAATTCTTTGAGGGGGGTCAACAAGCATGTGGACCAAGGGGATCCAGTGGATATAGTGTACTTAGATTTTCAGAAAGCATTCAACAAGGTCCCTCACCAAAGGCTCTTACACAGAGTAAGCTGCCACGGGATAAGAGGGAAGGTTCTCTCATGGATTGGTAACTGGTTAAAAGATAGGAAACAAAGGGTAGGTATAAATGGTCAGTTTTCAGAGTGGAGAGAGGTAATAGTGGTAATAGTGTCCCCCAGGGATCTGTACTGGGCCCAGTCCTATTCAACATATTCATAAATTATGTGGAAAAAGGGTAAAAAGTGAGGTGGCAAAATTTGCAGATGATACAAAATTACAAAAAAGATAGTTAAGACCCAGACAGACTGCGAAGAGCTGCAAAAGGATCTCTCAAAACTGGGTGAGTGGGCAACAAAATAGCAGATGAAATTTAATGTTGATAAATGAAAAGCAATGCACATTGGAAAGCATAATCCCAACTATACATATAAAATGACGGGGTCTAAATTAGCTGTTACCACTCAAGAAAGAGATCTTGGAGTCATTGTGAATAGTTCTCTGAAAATATCCATTCAATATGCAGTGACAGTCAAGAATGCTGGGAATAATTAAGAAAGGGATAGATAATGAGACAGAAAATATCATATTGCCTCTATATAAATCCATGGTGTGCCCACATCTTGAATACTGTGTGCAGATGTGGTCGCCCCATCTCAAAAAAGATATATTGGAATTGGAAAAGGTTCAGAAAAGGGCAACAAAAATGATCAGGGGTATGGAACGGCTTCCGTATGAGGAGAGATTAATAAGACTGGGACTTTTCAGCTTGGAAAAGAGACAGCTAAGGGGAGATATGATTGAGGTCTATAAAATCATAACTGTTATAGAGAAAGTAGATAAGGAAGTGTTGTTTACTACTTCTCATAACACAAGAACTAAGGGTCACCAAATGAAATTAAATAAGCAGCAGGTTTAAAACAAAAAAAAGGAAGTATTTCTTCACACAACACACAGTCAACCTATGGAACTCCTTGACAGAGGATGTTGTGGAGGCCAAGACCATAACAGGGTTTTAAAAAGAACTAGATAAATTCATGGAGGATAGGTCCATCAATGGCTATTAGCCAGGATAGGCATAAATGGTGTCCCTAGCCTCTGTTTGCCAGAAGTTGGGAAAGGGCAACAGGGGATGGATCACTTGATGATTACCTGTTCTGTTCATTCCCTCTGGGGCACCTGGCACCAAGGGCTATTCTTATGTTCTTATGTCTAAAGGCAGTACCGTTCAATATCACAGTGGTACAGGTCTACGCCCCTACAACAGACTATGACGATGAGCAAATTGAAGATTTTTACAATCAGCTACAAGACATTATCGATAAGGTACACAAGAAAGATATCCTGATGATACAGGGAGATTGGAATGCTAAAGTGGGTACCTACGCACAGGCAGATTGGCGAGATTACTGTGGCCCTTTCTGTAATGCGGTAACCAATGAGAGAGAACTGAGACTTTTGGAGTTTGCCAGCTATAACAATCTGGTTCTTGCAAACACATTAGGGGCACATAAAGCATCCAGACGATCAACGTGGCACGCACCTGATGGTCTACATAATGGTGCAAAACCGATTTTGTTCTGGGATCAACAGAGCTAAAACAAGGAGCTTCCATGGTGCTGATATTGGAAGTGATCAAGACCTTGTGATGCTATACTTTTGGTTGTGATGAAGGAAAAATCATCAGGCCAAAGCTCACCAGAATCAAGTTTGACTTAGAAAGACTTAGAGACCGAAGCATTGCAGAGTCATTCCAAGCAATGACTGGCGGAAAATTTGCCCCGCTGCTTGCTCTAGAGGAAGACGTAGAAACAACGACCGACAATTTCAACGCTGTAATGAATGAGGCAGCAATGGACATCCTTGGGAAACGCCGTATGAAGACAAAACCTTGGGTCACAAATGAAATACTACAAATGTGTGACATCAGAAGAGAAATCAAGAGAGACAAGAACAGCACTGAGGGAGCTGATAAATACAGAGCGATTGGCAGAAAGATCAAGAAAGGAATGAAAGTGGCCAAGGAGATAGGGATAGAAAAACAATGCTCTAAAATATAATAATAAAAATAGCAAACGAGCCTTCCAGATTGTAAAAGATCGACCAAAGCTAACGTAATTCAAGACAAAGAAGGGAACAGTCTTACAGAAGAAAGGGACATCATCAATAGGTGGACAAACTACTGCTCTGATCTATGCAACCACCAGACAAATGGAGATCCTAGTGTCCTAGACAGCCCAGATTCAACAGAGGAGGATGACTTTCCAATACTGCGTGAAGAGGTGGAGACAGCTGTGAAATCACTCAAGAACAGAAAGGCTACAGGTATTGACAACATCTCAGCCGAACTGATGAAATTCAGAGGAGAAACAGTAACAGATGTACTCACCAAGATCTGCAACGAGATCTGGCAGAATGGTAATCGGCCCTCCATGTGAACACGGTCACTAATCATCACTCTGCCAAAAAAAGGCAACCTGCAATTGTATCAAAATTACCGGACCATAAGCTTAATTAGCCATCCCAGCAAAGTGATATTGAAAGTCATATTGAACAGATTGAAGCCACAAGCGGAGAATATTATCATTGAAGAACAGGCTGGCTTTTGTGCTGGAAGAAGTACCACAGAACAGATTTTCAATCTCGTGTTCTACGTGAGAAGTACTTACAACATCAGCAGGACATCTACCACGTCTTTGTTGACTTCAAGGAGGCGTTTGACAGAGTATGGCACGAAGCTCTCTGGGCAACCACGAAGAAGTACAATGTTGGTCGTAAGCTTATTCTTACCAATAAACAACTGTATGCCAAGGCCAGCAGTGCAGTTCTCGTCAATGGCACGATAGGAGAGTGGTTTCGCACCACTGTTGGAGTCCGGCAAGGCTGCCTTCTTTCGCCCACACTGTTCAACATCTACTTGGAGCACATAATGACTGATGCCCTAGAAGATCACATATGCAGAGTCAGCATTGGCGGGCGAACAGTCTCAAATGTTCGGTTCGCTGATAACACTGACGGCCTGGCAGGTAGCAAAGATGAAGTTGCCAACCTTGTGAAATGATTAGATGAAACCTCTGCAAAATAGGGCATGGAAATCAGTGCAGAGAAAACCAAGCTGATGACAAACAGGATCAGTTCACATATCACTGTCAGTGGACAAGAGCTGGAGATAGTGAAACAGTTCAAGTATTTGGGGGCAATCATCACTGATGAAGGATTAAAGGCAGAAATTCTGGCAAGAATTGCGCAAACAGCAGCAACAGTGGCAAAGCTAAAGCCAATTTGGAGGAACAAGAACATCTCCCTGGAATCCAAACTGAAACTGCTACACGCACTGGTCAGCTCCATTTTCCTGCATGCGTGCGAGATATGGACCCTTACGGCAGAACTTGAATGGAAAATACAGGTAGTAGAGAAGAGATACTTTCGTAAAATCCTGGGCATCTCCTACTTTGACCACGTCAGTAATGAAGAGGTCCACAACATCATCACCCAACGCGCTGGGTCATATGAAGATTGCCGGACGACTGTGAAGAAGCGCAAGCTGAAGTGGTGCGGCCATGTAACAAGATCATCTGGCCTATCCAAGATCACCCTCCAAGGGACAGTACACGGGAAGAGAAGAAGAGGTAGACAGTAGAAGAGATGGACTGATGACATAAAAGAGTGGACAGGAATGGACTTTGCGGAGACTCAAGCACAGACACACAATCGTCAGGGGTGGAAACAATTGGTTGATTGCTTACCAATGATAGTGCCCCAACGACCAATGCGGTTATGGGAGTGATGATGATGATGATGTATCTGCAGTCCCAGGTTACATTAAACTGATTTTTAAAGACATGTTCAATATTTAAAACTTTGACTAGATGACCCTTGCGGACCCTTCTAACCGTATAGCTCTAAGTCTATGCTATCACTACAGAGCAGAGAGAAGGTTCTTTGGGTGCTCTATGTTCTCTGGGACCATCCTCTTCTCTTCTCTCTCTTGGGGATATTTGGAAGGCAGTGGCCTTTTTGAAAGAGGGCAGTTCTATGGGAACCTCTGTAGAAGAACTTTATTCATCACTCTCTGCTGTAGAAAGTTTATTATGAAGAAGAAGAACAGTAAAATATGATCACGAATCCTAAAATAACACACCTCTACCCTGATATAACGCTGTCCTCAGGAGCCAAAAAATCTTACCGCATTATACGTGAAACTGCGTTATATCGAACTTGCTTTGATCTGCTGGAGTGCGCAGCCCCGCCCCCCCAGAGCGCTGCTTTACCACATTATATCCGAATTCGTGTTATATCGGGTCGCGTTATATCGGGATAGAGGTGTAATTCAAATGCAGCTAATCCATGAGATTTCAGTACATTAACTGTACGGAAAGTCTGCAGAGTTGCCTTATTCGATAACTAAAATCATTCAGGGCAACAACAACAAAAAGACAGGCATAAGGTGCTATTTCTTAAAAGACTGACTTTTTATAAACTAAAAATTAACGCAAATTAACTGATTTAACAAAGAGGTTGAATCCATGCCTTAAGTGCAAAAATTAACCTAATCCTCAACAAGGAAGCCAAAACAAGTGCTACCATAATCTGGAGACTAGTCACCCAGGTACAAATCCTGTTTTGGTCACAAGTGGAAATAAATTTGAGGATCTCTTCCTAGTCCTTAGTGGATGTTTTTTCCACATCACTGAAGAACATGGTATGACTGGGAAACAACAGTTGTTTTGGAAGCCCTGCAAAATTCTGAGGTGTGATGGCAGAACTGTATGTGGAAAGCTTACTCCCAAATCCCACAACTGCCAGCACTGCATACAATGTCTCTTCTGTAAGACAGGCACAGAATACAGGCAATGGATCAGACTAGTTACCCAACAGGTCAGTATCCAACAGTGGCTGCTTCAGAGGAATATGTAAAAATCCGTGTTCTCAGTTGGCTTATGTCTTGATGCATGAGGGTTTATAACTCTTCGATTTTTTTAAATCCTCTCTCATTAACCATATAAAATTTCTGAATCTTGCTAAGCTCTTGGCCTCAATGATATCTTGTGGAAGTCACTGCTACAGGTGCCTTATGTAAAAAGCGTATCTCCTTTAATCCATTTTACATTTATTACCTTTCTGTTTCAATGACAGTTGGCTCATGAATCCAGTTTTAGTATTTCAGAGACATCCAGTATTTAAGAGAGATTCTGACCCCATGGACCTTCAGGTAGTATGTCCCTACTATTAAGGGGCATATTTTCATCCCAATGCATGGAGAGGTAAGCATGGAAATCCCCACTCACCTCAAACTCCCTCCTATCTGGACTACTCTGAAATATCACATATGTGGACAAATCTTCTGGCAGATTGTTCCCAATTCAGTGTGACTTTCAGTTTCCCCAGTCATTTAGGACCTCCATAGTCCTAGTCAGAACCATTCTGCTTATAAATGATTTTCTGTCTCCCTGTCCTCAGTAGATGGTAGATTGAGAGCGCACAAACAAATCCATTAGTCTAACACTTAAGCTCCTTTACTCACTTCTCCAGCTTCCTCTCCGCACTCTGAGCTCTCCGCTGGGCGAGCACGCTGCTTGCTCTCCTTTTTCTCTGCTCTTCTCTTTTCTGTTGGATCCGGGCATCCAGCTTAGAGATTGTGCAGATCCCCCAGATGGAGTCCTTAATTCCCTGCAGACACAAGGAAACAGCACACCCGAACTCAACATACTTTGGGCAGTCAAAGTAAAAGTTACAAGGGACACTGTCAATTGAAAAATCATCTCCATAAAAATTACATATATTATCTGTAATCCCCTATATTATAGAAACTGAAGGAATTTTACAAATCTCTTCATTATGATCACTGAGTCAGTTTACTTTTGAACACTTCAGTCAGCTAGGGACAGTAAAAAATACCAGCTTCACTTTCTGGTGCATGCACTGGCCTAAACTTCTGTCTTTGGGTTACAAACTCTCCAGGGGAAGGTATGAATTATAAAACAGTTTTCCTTGCATTTATTTTTTATTTTATGTCAACATTTCTATTCATATTGGCCTTTCAAAAAAAAAATTTGTAAACAAGACCTACATTTCAGGGGTACTAAATTGTGCAGTAGTTTCCCTTTCAAGGAAAATCTCACAGTTTAGGTGGGTCTGAGAGGCTTATATATAAAACTGATGTATATAAAACTGCAGGTGTGCATAGCATTTTAAAAGACAAGGGCCCAGCCTCAAGGAGCTCAGTCTAGTGTAGACAGACAATTAATGAAGATAACGTGTCACAGTAGCGGGATAACAAAACAAGGAAGTGGAGGAAATGCTCCTGAGACAGCGATTTTGGCACACGCTAAAAATAAAGGCTATGTTTCTGTATTGCTCTATTTTTTATGTCATCTTGGCCATGCTCAGAAGTGGCAACAGAGAGCACCTGTGGAGAGATCAATGGTGGAAGGACGCTCAAAAGTCATGAGCTTCTGAGGTAGAATTCAAAGGAGAATAGAGGGGCTGTTAGGAGTAGCAAAGAAGGGAGCGGTTGTTCTCTTTGGGACAGTTTGGCCACCTGTCCTGTGTTCCCTCAGCTCCCATCATTCCCTCAGACCGCAATTTGGATGAAAGCCAGCAACGGTAATCAAGTCAGGAGGGGAAGCCAATACTGTTAATTGTAGCCAAGGTTCAGTTCAATACATTACACCAACTATTTTCAGTGGCCCAGTGACCTAAATCATAAACATTTTAGTCACCTCTAAAAGGGACAGTAGAAAGTAATTTGTCGTCTTTTTTTTTTTTTTTTAAAGGTGTAATTTCTTGTTGACTTCCCACTATTTATAGCCCCTCTCTCAGAAGCCAGAGAATCGTTTCTTTCCTTGTCTGTTTTCTCCTATCTGGCAAAAAGTGCTTTTTCTCCTGCCAATTTGTATATGAAGCTGGAATTAACCCAGCTGGGTTTCTTTACTGCCTTGTTTGTAACACAAGCTGATAAGCAAGATTGTCACAGCCATTTGAAGCGTAGTTATTAGTTTCTTAATGCTGTGCTATCAATAGAAGTATCAATCTACAAGATAGATAACGTGTAAAGATGCATCATAAATTGTATTAACTCCCCACTCTTGGTGAGAAATTACAAATAAAATGCACCAGTTCTTGGGAGATCCTTGAAACACTATTATTTTATTTGCTTTTTTAATCCATGGAGGCAGAAAATATAAGGCCAATATAATAAAATTACACACACATTTAGGATATGCAAGGCATTTCTGGTTGAACGTAAATCAAAATTTGGTGTTTACACTACTTGATCGTGTCTTCTAGTTACAAAACCAAGGCAGTTTGCTCTTCCTGGATGCAAAGAAACATCAGCTCCATGTTGCCCAAACCCAAAACTTGTGTTAAACCCGCAGAGGGCTCCAGAAAGCACTTAGGAGATTTCCAACTTTTTAAAAAAATGGGTGGGGGAAGCAGCATTTTCTTAAATAGGTGGGAGTTAGCCTTTCACCTGTGGGCCATCTATTGAAACACCATCCAAATCAGCTGTAATCAGTCAAGCATTCCCATCACAAAAAATACATAATTGATCCCTTTGACAGCAGTCTGAGCAGAAAAGCCAATGATTAAGGCTCAATTCTGCAGGGTGCTCTACAGCACACAGAGATGTTTGGAGGTGCAGTGGAGGCTCAACATTTGTCCAGACCATGCTCAGCCGTGTGACTTTGTAGTGGTATCATGCTGAACAAGAGTAGCTCCCTCTTATTTCCATACACACAAGAGCAAAAGAATGTCACTGAGTGGAGTTGGAGGGAGATTAGAATCCTGGTATTTGTGTGTGATCCCACACATATAAATTAGGTACACAACCACTACTCTGCTCCATATTTTTTTTAAAAAGGTAACCAGGAGTGAAACTTGAGGTTACTACTGGAGGGGATATATTCTTAGTCCACCAGTGGATACATGAAAAGGGAGGCACGCCAAGCATTAAAGAACAGGATATAATCTGAATATTCAAGACATATAATATTGATTGGTCTATCAATCTATTTTGCCTATAATCTCACTATGCCACTTATGCAAGGGGAAAAAAAGATCCCAAAGAGATTCTGGGCTCAAGAAAAATTGAGAGACTTACCCTGACGAGATCATGAAGGAAGGTTTTCACACTGTCTGCCATCTCTACTCCAGCATCACCTCTGATTCCAAAACTATCAACTACAGGGAGAAGGGAAGAGAAGAGCCCAAACCTCTCTCATTGTGCAAAGATAGGAAACTGATGGAGCCTGGCAGAAAAAAAAGGAAACATTACCATGTTAAATGTGAACAAAGAATTCCTGGTTTACACACTGATGTGTGTAATGGAATTGTAAGTTTAATAGCATCTCAGCCATTTTAAACAGAAGGCAGTATTTGTCCAGGCAACATGAGTAATTTTAACACTTACTACTATATTAATGTGCAGCATTTCTGAAGAAAAGGCATGACAATTGGAAAACAAATCAATAACCTCCTCTCCCTCCCCCAAAAAAAGATGGGCACAGGGCCTCTAAAGGTTTGAAAGTTGTAAAATTCAGACTTTTGAACTAATGAAATAAAGTTCTGCATTAACTCCAGTCGTCAGTGTTGCAACCCATATCTAGGAATGAAGCCATATACCCTGAAAAAGCTCCAGCTAGTACAAAATGCAGCTGCCTATCTGCTTCCAACACAAGTCACCATGAGCACATCACTCCAGTACTCTGCAATGGATCTCACCAAACAACTGTCCAATTCAAGATATCTATCCTGATATACAAAGCGCTCCATGGGATTGGCCTCTACCTACTCAACTGATTACTTCTAAAAAGCTGTGGTTAGGGTTGCAGATTTGTCACAGTGGTGAAAAAGTCACAGATACCATGACTTCTCCGTTTGTCCATGACTTCCATATGGGAAGGTTCTAGGTGGGTCGCCCAACAACCTGGTGTAGAGAGGAGGTTGTGTGGGGGAGTTGGAGAGCTAGCTTACCCTACACTCACCCCAAGCTGCAGTTCCTGAGTCCCACGGGGTTGGGCCCAGCTCCCTGCTCCAGGCATTGCAACCTGGCACATGTAATGATAGAGGAGTGGCCAGGCCAAATTTGAGTGAATGGCAGTGTGACCTTTTTCTCAGGTCGCAATGCCATTCACTCAAATGTAGCCCACTGCCCCGAAGCCAAACCTGAGCAGAGCTATAAGCCGATGTGCCAGGTCACAATGCCTGGGACGCAGGAGCCGCTGCTGCCCGTGCCCAGAGTGACCACAGGATAGGCTCGCTCTCAACCCACAGGCCCAGGCCTGTGGGACAGAGGCCACCACTAAGGGAGAGCCCCCCACACCAATGGCCTCCTCTCCTCATTGGGATGAGATTAGGGTTGTGATACCGGGATGGAGAGTACTGCTGAGGGTGGTTGGTGCCCCCTCGGCGGGGCGAGGAGGAGCTGGCAGTAGCAGCAGTGTAGAAGGATGCTGGCCTATCATCTTAATCAGGTACAGCTGAATTTCATTTGTACTGCTTTAAAAAAAAAAAATCACAAATCACAAAAGCTATGACTTTTACTAAATTGACTGTGACTGCTCCATGATTCTGAATAAAAAATGCCATAACAAATCTGCAGCCCTAGGTATGGTCCACCCGAAGAACAAAACTGTTGACCAATAGGGAAAAACGCATGAGTGGGAAGACAAATCTTTCACAAGAGATTCACTAGACTCTGAAACCACTCGCACAACAGAGAAGAATGACCGTGGGCCTCAGTACATTCAAAACCCCTAGATTTCCTATATGCATAGTGGCAAAAAGGAAAGTTATATGAAGATTACAAGCCCCTAAACAAGAAACTATATGCAACGGCAAGTGAGAAAGTATTCAGGCTGAGGTTAACTGTGAAACAGCAGGATGAAACCCAGGTCAGAACAGGGGCTGCATTTGACAAGCAGAGTTCAAATTAGGTTCATGACTTGTTTTGCAAATGTTTTGGAAACACAAGCTTCTCCTTGCTCTGGGGCTAAGGACCCTTTACACAGGAAGACCTAGTGTAGTCTACATCAAAGAAATAAGTACTGCAGGAGGTAAAGGGCAGGCCAGAAGAGACCAAGTGACTTAGGGCTTTGACTACATTAGGGATTTGTGCACTGTCACTGGTGTACATTGATGTAGTTACACCATAACAAAACCCAACATAGGTGTGCTGCACCAAAGTAAAGAGGAGTTTGCACCAGTAAGACTTACCTTGACTTTGAATATTCTTTAGTGTATTCCGTAACTTCGTAATACAAGAGGTCACCACATCATAGTCTTTAGTGTTATATTTTAGCTGAGACATGTTGTGAATTTTTTATTTTTTGTTTCTTTTTTAAAAAGCAGATTTATTGATTTTCAAGACTAATTGGTATGGTTCTATGGTATTTTGACAAAAAAAAATTCCTGCGTGAGAACTTCCTAGTGTTAAGGAGTTGCATAAGTGCTAGTACTGGCTGCTATGCCATCCTGGCTTCATCGGTTTCTCTAGAATTTAAGCTTTTAAGTTTTTTCTGGTTAGGAAAAAAACCCTTCTGGTTAGGAACAAAACACTTCAAATACCCAACCAACACAGTGCCTGCAGACAGTCTAAAATAGCAGATCTGAAGTCAAATAGTGGTAAGTTAAATGTCAACATTGTTAACTATTTAACTGCTGAACATTTTAACTCTAAATATTCAGATATTCTGAATCTGTGGACAAATCTGAGTACTACAATTGTTCTCCAAAAACTCTGTTTGAGACAGACTTTAAAACACAGCTGTACCAAGGAATTTACAGAGCACTACTGGCAACTAAACAATTTGTCAACCTATTCCAGCATGATGCACAGCTTTTCACGTTCTTCTTCCTGCAGGAGCACACAAACGCACAGCCATAGACGTGAATCATTTAATTTCTACAATAACTGAAGAGTTATAAATACCCAGTTTCAGGATCTGTATCAATAAGCAGCCTTTAGCAGACACTGACGTCAGTCAATGATCTAAACCCTGACCTTCACACACATTCTGTTTTGCAGTTTTATATCTACCGCATTCAAACCAGATCAAAGCAAGACCCTTTGGGTGTGTCCTTATCTCTAAGCACCAAAACTCAGTGGCCAAAACTAATCTGGGAATGGTATTTGTTGTAAGAGCACAGAAGGTGGCAAAACAGATGGGCCATAAGATGGAGTGGGGTCTAAGAGAGGTAGACCAGAACCTAAGCGAAGATGATGATGTCTGCTAGTATTAAACATTTAACTGGACATAGAGATCTGAAAATAATACTTCATCTGTGAAACAGTCCAGTAGAAAAACAAGAGAACTTAGAATGAGTATGCAGGATGAAAGGACAGTTATGAAACACGTAAGAGCCAGTAAGGCAGAAATTACCAAGTGACTTGGGAGTCAAACATTTCTCACAATCATCATAGAATCACAGAATATCAGGGTTGGAAGGGACCTCAGGAGGTCATCTAGTCCAACCCCCTGCTCAAAGCAGGACCAATCTCTCCATTTCCTCCTCCAGTAGTATACACACACACACAAGTTAAAGGGAAAGTATGGCAGACACATTTTATTCCATAAATGTATCCAGTGAAATCTTCTTCTATGAGATTTTCCCATTCAATTTTTAAAAAGGAAACACACCGGATTTCTGACCTGTGTCAAATAGAAACCCATATTGTTTACAGTCCCACATTGGCCTTCCATGGCTAAAGAATCACTAGTGTTGCAATTCTGAGATGAGCCTTCTGCCTCCAGCCGTAGGCTCAGGATGGTGATCAGCAGATGACTCTAGTGTCTATGATAATCCCCTAAAAGCTCAAATCAGAAACATGTTTCTATACTAAAAATATTCTCCCTGCAAGTCCTATGCTATCACTAGTTTATTATAAGGGATGTGTGGCCCAGTAGACTGCCTGGATTGGGAGTCAAAGGACCTGGGTTCCATTCCCAGCTCTGTCACTATCCAGCTGTGTAATCTTCATCTTCTCTGCCTCACGTGTAACATGGGGACAATGATAACCTCCTTTGTAAAGAATTTTGAAATCTACAGATGAAAAGCACAATATAAAAGGATACCTATTATTATTGTAGGGTCTCACAACTCCTATGCTCTTAGCACTAATTACTCCAAACACTCTCGCCATCAAATTTTGAGCCTTCAGCTTCTCTTAAAGTGTCAAAAAAAGCATTGGTCCAGCATGTGGATCATCACCTAAAGAGTATGGACTGTACTAACCGCAAAACCCACTGAATCACTCCATCTCCCAGTTAAGAGAAAAACAACCTGCTAACCTCACTCTTTCACTAGAGACGAAGCAGAAGGACTAGTTCATTCCTGAGTGGTCTGTGTTACAACATTTGTCACTTTATCATCTTTGTTGTCATATAATTAAAACACTGAATATAAGCCATTAATGCTTCAACACATTTGGCCTCATCACAAGAACGAGAACACAGTTCAAAATAACTAGTAAACTTTCCTCAGAGTCCAGGTCTGGAATAGCAGAGGGTGCCGCAAGCTGGGATAGATGTTCAGAAGCAGAACTATATAAGGTAATCCTGCACAGAACCAGCCTGGCTTGTGACTACCTCTAACCCATGTTATTAGTCCCTCAATTTCATGAGCCCTAAGTTAACTCACAAATGGACAGAGTCAACTTGAAATCAATCTTTTAAAAATGTGAAGTAGTTTTTGGTCCCAGGGCTGACCCTGACAATTTCTGTGGTTTTGAAGTTACATTTTCCTGTTTTTAAAAATCTCCCCCTCCCATATTGCTGTATGAAAGATCATACAAACAGAAGAGACAGAAAAGTTTACAATGCATACAATCATCAAACTGACAAAGGTAGAGAAAAAAGTGTTTTCTCTGATCTCTTTCAATTATCGCAACCTTCTGTGTAACATAGGTTCAGGAAGCCCCCACCCCTCAGCAGCTAGAACATGTCTCCCAGCGGCCTAGGGGTTACAGTCTGAAGCAGCAGCCAGAGGGAGACAGGGAGAGGGAACCTGGGGCTGGGCACTCCACCGCTTCCGACTCAGGGCCCTCTTGAGTACAATGGGAGCCACAGGACTCTGTGTGCTGCCTGTGCAGCAGCCTCCTCCTGGTGATGAATCCTCCTTGTGTAGTCCCTCCACAGTTGTGAGCACAGGTCCATCTCCCTCTGCTCCCTGCCCCACTGCACTGCAGTGCCTCTTTTTAAACCCCTCCTCCGACTGCAGCATGCCCAGTAGGCCCACCGGGAAGGGCTTC